ATTGTAAGCCAACAATTTCTAGTAAGTCCAAGTGTTATCATACATACTTACCTAGATATAAAGTGCAAACATTCAGCCAGGTATGATTTGTTGCAGGGAATTGCTTACCCACTCAGAACACCGATTGTTTCTTATGATTTTTTAAGCATGTGCTACCTTTTCTGTCTCCTCGGTTCGTAATGTTGTCTTCTCGGTTTTTGTTTTTGTTTGTTTCATGATTGCTTTATGTCTCTTCGTTCCTGTTGTTGTCTTCCATTTTTGTTTAAGTCTCCTCGTTTCCTGTTGTCTTTCCGTGATTATATTTTCTTGGTTGCCTATTGTTGTCCATTTATCCGGACTTCCTCAATGTGTACTTACATAACCATGCTGCAATATGGGTTTTTTAATCCCAGAACCTGCTTGTCTTTTTATTCATTACTTTCCCATGTAGATTTCATTGAACAAGAACTATCCAAAAAATAGTGTGGGGCAAATTGCCTTGAATAGACAATTAAAACTGAAAACAAAAACGTTCTACAAAAAAAGGCATTCAACAGTCAGCATTTTTTGTTGTTATGATAGACGTAAATATATTTTTTCATTAATTTAACAGCAGAACATATTCTAGATTACAAGATATGCAGAAAAATGGCATGAAATATCGTAAAACCGGTAATGGTATTTAAAATGATTGATGTTTTTCACAACAAATAGACGCCTAGGTATTCATTTTGTGTCATTATTGGATCATCTTTCTGTAGTAACATAACACTAGATTCCATTATCTAGATGTCAATGATGCGGTTGGTGCTGACAGTTATGAAGAGCTCCAAGAAAATGTCTTCAACAGAGAACGCTGTCACAATCAATTCCTGAACAACGGCCCACGTATTTTTGATGACATTTTCAATATGCATTGGAGTGGAAAAGACGACACATTATGACGGCAATGGAGTCGGGCCTGAATGTTGGTTTCTATATCTCTGACTGTTGCTGGAAGCACAAACTATTTGTACAACCACTAGAATTATGAAGTAAGGAAACACCAATACAATAAGTTAGTAAGTCGACTAGAATTCCAAACAAAGTTAAAATGTTTTCAGTACCATATTGCAATTTTGTCGATTCATGACTTATCAGCGGCATGAAAGGTCAAATGCATTGTAATCCATGTCTAAAGTGTGCAGAATAACAGCAAAAGGGGGAAAGGTGCGTATACAACCCCGTTTAATGTTAAAATTTTACAACGCTTATCTACAGCAGATAATTAAGTTTAAAACTAGAATTCCTTGCAAACCTTGCCAGAACAGATTTGGGTATCTGTATTATTTGTCTATTAGCGAGTACTTCTGGTAGATGATTTGCCCTTCAGTGAAATCGTTCAAATCTCCGATTAACACTATGAGCAGGGAAATTATTACCTTCTGTCAAATAAAATTTAATTCAAATAGATTTATTACTATAGTAAAATCGATAACACATTAACCAGTAGCATTTGCATTTGATTAAAATTGAGCATTTGACTGGATGAAATAAGGATTCACTCTTTCTTCAATTTCTGTCATAAAATAAAATAGGTTTGCCATTGTGAGAACAAGAAATACAGGATAATAAATAAGACGTCATGATGACATTACTATTGACCTTGAGAGAGGTAATGAACAGAACGTTAAAACCAATTTCATTCTGATTAATTATCTTATAAACGTTATTTAATTTACAACAATTCCGAAAGTGTATTGCAACACAGTTATTACATCTTATATTAATTGCTCTTGTTGGCCAGGATGTTGGCGCGCAGGGGGCCTTTATGTGGGAAGAAACCGGAGTACCTTGAGAAAACCCACGTGGTCGGGCAGGTTATGTCATACCTATTCAAGTCCAATCCCGGCCGCCCTGGAGAAAGGCTAATGCCTTATCCACTTCTGGTATACGTCACCAAACCAACCAATCTAAATACAGTTCATACCTCCTGAGCTCCTGACAAAGCTGGACGAATCTGATATAGAGGATCAGCTGGACTACTAAGTATATTCTTACAATAAATGCATATCGACACTGTTACTGTTAATTAGTTAATACAGTGAGAACCTATCTGTTTTTGATGAGTAACTGATTCGTTATTTAGATAACACACTAGAGTCTCGGTAATATTCATTGACCTATGTTAACAAGTGTTCAAACCGGAAACACCTGACTGTTATGGATTTTCGTTTTTCCCACAACCACTATAGGCTTCCTCACTTCCGACTCATTGAATAAACCCTTCAAGGAGGTGGTAAACATTTTTCGATACCCACTAGTGGGTACAACCCTGGACGTTATTTCATAGGTCAATCTTTTAATTATAACAACAATTAGCATTGCGATCGGAACTGAATGATGCATCTCAATAGGAACTAAGTTGTGCAGATATAATATCTGACAGTTGTTGGAGGAAAAAGTCTACAACCTCCTGACGGTTGATTATCATGTTTATCTAACTCCCAGTTGATTTTTACATTGTAAAAGACACTTGGTAAACCTCGTGTCTTTATATAATTTGAAAAGTTACCTTACTCGAGTAAGATAAATAGGAAAACCAACCATCACTCGTTGGGGAACCTCTGTTTGACTTCTGGTACAACTCCCTCTGCTGAAGACTCCTATACAGACGAAAGACCCTATGCTGTAGTAAATATGTACTTTGATTCTCCAAATCGATATAGTATTCTTTAGGAATAAAGCAAAAGGTTTCATCTCAATCTTCTTCATATTTATTTCATAAAAGCATCAGAAGTAAAAAGAGTAACAAACTATTGTTTTAAAGAAGATAATATTATCAACATGCTGGCAGATACTATTACAACGTGATACAGTGTGCATGAAGAATGGAGAAATAGTCCGAGCTATTTTAACATGATTAGTTCTGTATGAGCTTGCTTATTGTACAAATATATGGAGACCTCCCCATTCTCAATGATGTCTGACGCCGACTTATTATTTGTGAGTAATCTGCGACTGTATGCAATACCTAATACCAATGGAAAAGATTTTGAAAAAGTTCACAAGCCATCAATTGCGCAATGACAGATCAATGTTTCATTTAATATTACTAGGGCATTTTAGTTGCATTTTAAATATGGGTTATCATTTTAACCATTGATTAAAGTTAGCAGCTATTACATCAAAATTACAATTGCAGTTGCAGGACTAATACGTGAACTTGATTTACTGCTGGAATGATTTGTACTTTGCTTTTTCAGTTCATCTTCCGACTTTATGTCTTGAAATTTCTTGCCGAATAAATGTCAGAGCTGACGGTGACGACAATAGGCATTAAGATCATATTGTTAGTAGTCATGCAGTATGCCACATCGGTGTGAAGACCTGTGAATAACTAGTCCCTTATAGAACTGTCTTGGAATCATTTCACCACAGCAATACGTGTACATCCTTTTACATTATGCTGGAGGGTGGGTTGTCTCCGGTCTAGTCAGAGAAAACGTTAGTAGTCCGCCTGTATGTACTTTAGTTTGGAAATGTCACCATTGCAAAATAAAGGGTTAACATGTATGTGCGCCTTTTCACTATCGTTCCGATCAATGATTACAACGTATGTGGATAGTTATTGTGCAGATGACTGTTAACTTGATTTCGCACTCGGCCTCTGCATATATTGAAGAACAAGACAGTAAGACAGAAGATATATATTAAGAAGTAAGACATTGACAATATACCAACAAAAATAAAACTTATACCCATTAATACATTCATGTAGTACATGGGTATATTATGTGGTTTAGTTACTATATAATGAATATATATAAACTGTATTAAGGATGTGAAGCCGGACGAATCAGGGTCATACGGTTCAAAGTAAATCGAGTACACCCACACTAATTGTGTCAAGGCAATCAGCCAATCAGATCTCCAGATTTACAAAAGTTAGTGAAGGATTTGCTAGGAATTTTATGTGCCCCCCCCCCCCCCCCCCCCCCCCCATGCAATGTCTGCTTCACATTCTAAGCTGGCATTGTTTGGTAACAGTGATTCAGATATGTTTACCTTGTAATCGATTTTGTGACAGGTGTATCATTGCGCTCCGCGTTTTTGGTAGATGTATTCAAGATACTGTTTATGTTGTAAATATGTTTATGTAACATGGTGGACATTTTTGGTACCATGTCTGCCAAGGTGTTCGTCATTTAATGAAGTGACATTTTCAGGACATGTTTTAATCTTTTTTGTTGGTATTTATATCAAAAGGGCCTGGCTTAAGCCGTGATCTGATGATCGTGATGGAGATTTATAGCATTAACACGTTTACGTTTGTCTTTTTATCCATCTAAAAGTGTTGCTTTTTTGTCATTGTTTTTTTGGCGCGAGGGGGGGGGGGGGGGGGGGGAGGGGGGATCTACAAAATGCACAAAGAACATACCAATTGTACCCATGAACTTTGATTAACAAAGTGCTCTATTAGTTTCTATTTTTCATAATTGTGTTGATATATTGTGTTTTCGAAAACCTAGCACGCAATCACGCAACGGGCGATCGAAGTGAGCGAAAACAAGGTTACGCCATCATTTAAAAATCTTCACGTGATCCAAAAATCCCTTCTTCAGTGAGTGCGATTTCTCAGTGTTAGTGTTAGGTCGTGGCGCTGAATTATTGACTCAGAGTTAACGCCACAAGGAAATTTGGCTGTAATTTGTTGAGACAACAACCATTAAAATTTCCATCAGAACTAGAGATGTTTGGGAAGCGAATTGTCTTTAAGATTTGATCGATGAATAAAAATATAAATAAGGATGAAACTAGAATACCATTTCTCTACAGCTCATTCGTCTGTATGAACAATGACATATTTCGTCTTTGTAATGAGGTTGCTATTTAGTGAAACACACACATTTTTGTGACAGAAAAAGGCTTGCTAGGATATTTGAAATATGAAACAATATTATAAGGGCAAAATCACTTCATAGCACGGCAGTTAAAAAATATAAATATAAATAACTAAATCAAAATATGAACATGCATTTTTTATTCCAGTTTCTCGTAAACATATATTGTCTATATTAATAAATATATTAAAATTAGATTGATGATATTACAATTATACAAAATATTAGAAGAGGACATGATTATGGACATGTGACCTAGAGGTGGTCAGAATGTTTATTGTTAATGAAATACCTGTACAGGCGTCAGAGGCACTACAAGCGTCAGTGAAACGTAGACACGCGTCTGTTGTTGAGTACACGTGTTGAATAGTAGGATTTACAATTCACAGAGTGAAATCCGTTTTGACTCGGATGATTCACTTCAAAACGAAAAAGTCTTCTTAAATTGTTTCTAAAATGTCTACTGAGGCAAACATATATCCAGAAATTAATCTGGTATGTTATAAATAAGCAAAAGTTAGATATGACGGCTATAACCAATTTCGCGTCGATTTTAATTATATTTATGTCACAGACATCTATGAGAAACACAATACTCACTGGAATTTCTACTAGACAAAAGGTTACAACGATCAGAATCACCATTACCGTGGTTCTACGAATCAACCGGAAGTCAGTTCTCTCCACTTCGTTGTCCTCTTCCCGGTGTAAGTCCAGTATCCGGTGGGATTCTACAATAAGTTTCTGGACCAGTGCGATAGTCGCGCACACTAGTATCACACATGGAAAGAATTGTCCGAAAACGAGGCGGATGAATTTCACAACTTTCTCTATACCGTAACCAAACATGAAGACTTCTTCTTGGTAACATAAACAATAAGGAATTACCAGACCGCTTTCGTCAATCCGAGTCCTCTCCTCAAAACGGTCTTCTAAAAACCACAAGGAGTAGACACCTAGAACCAAGATATACACCAGCAGTATTACTAAGATCGAGTTTTTATGTGACCAGAATCGTCTCCCTGGAATCGGAAATGCGACAACAATGAATCTCTGAATACCAAGTACAACCGTCAGCCATATTGACACCGCGTGGAAAACGGCGGTAATTTTGTAAGCGATGCTGTGGTATATACACAACGGATACGGAAGTCCGTCTTGGTAGTTCAACACGTTACCCATACTGTAAAAGTATACATACATTGGCGTAATAACACTTGCCGCCAAAATATCACTGACGGCGAGAGCTGTGAGAAGTATGGTTGTCGGGGAGCGCATCCGGTTCATGGTAAAGACGATGGTGACAAGAATATTTGTACAAAGGGTTGTACAGGCAAGGAGGGGACAGAGAACACCGTACATAGGGAACCAATACGGGTACAATATCGGCAGGCAGTTCAACGAATTCTCCAGGAACGTCTCATTTGTAGAATTGATAAACACCATGGTTGTCTTTTTAGAACAAAATGTATCATGTATTACGACCACAAGTTGTTGTCAGACGTTGGCGTAACAAAACGCGACAGAACTGTAAGGATTTTTCCTTCAGGAGAGAGCTAGAATTAAACTGGATCGGACGTTGCTGTTGGTTGCATGAGAAGACCCATGCCATACATACGTCCGTTCCCCTCTAGGCATCACATGGGTGTATAATGTAATCAGTCCGTTATTGTAAGGATTAGTGCCCTCTTACACGGGTACAGCAGTACAATATTCAGATAAGATGGCCGCTGTCCAAAAGGAATACACGCTTTACATGTCCGAATTACTCGTATCATCCTCCGTCTCGAGTGGTCATTACAAGTTAGAACAACGAATCCGTTTTATTCAGAATTTTCTTATAAAATCCGACAGCACCTTTGATATAAATATAATTGAGTTAGTAGTTATTTGCTCCCCCCCAAAAAAGTGCACGCACAGACAATGGGGAAATGTCCGAGAATTAGCACCTCGCGAACGATGCGCTTTGCTCGTCTACTACTGCCGATCGCGGTGTCTATATAACCAACTCCATTCTCGTCAATCTTGAGAGGCGATTCGGATAAATCCGTGTTAGTGATAATGACTTTATATAATGTGTGTATTGTAGAGGACTGTCAGCCTGGCTCGCAGACACTCCAAAACGTGGGTTTCAATCATACAGTTGCCATGGCTACAACTCACCGGAAAATTCCGTTGATGAGACAGAGAAACACATAGAATATTTCACCAAGGGCTTCGTTTGCCTTATAAAACGCAGCATGAAATGAAGAGAACAATTTAATGAAAATTACTGAACGCGGTACCGCGATTTAGGCTTGTTGATGTTTTGTGGCGAAGTCGTAAAGAATAGTACCGCCAATTTGGTATATTAGGCGACTGAACGGTAAATGACATCGCCTTGAAAATCGGCAACATTACTTTCCCTTATAAACAACAGTGTGATATTGTCAGTCTTTTCTTTGTTGTAGTAGAGAGATTGTATTGAATTGGATGAAGTCTCTAGATATATATTTTGAAAGTAGCCCATGGTGTAAGAATAATAAAACGCTGCTCCAACATACGATTCAACAGCATCTTCTATAAACGTAGAACCGTTAAATGTCGCACCGAGACAGTCCCGGGCGTTATAATGTAGAAGTGTGGAGATTACATGATCTGTCATTTGAGCGATATCATTTACGTTGTTGATAGTCAAGGCCGCTGTCAAGTAAATTGCTAGAATTACATAAAATACCAGCGAATTATTTCTATCAATACCGATCTGTTATCTCGATATCAATCAACTTTGTTTTCCTCTCGATCCGTTCCCCCTCATCTCCATCTTGTGTTATCAACTAGATTAATCTGACGATAGGCATAGCAACACATACTTAGAAACGTAGGAACCTGTACGGGGTCAGAGATCTGACATGGAGCAGTCGCTGAAGGCTGCAAACACGGTCTGCCTTGTCCAATGGGTCCAGCTAATATACAGGTATACACACTAACCTCGAATACTGACAGTAATAACCCAACAGAACACACAGAACGCCCAACGAGGCAGATTTTGTGAACAATACAATCCTGTGGTTTGTGTGCAAATACGACTCTTCAAAGAAGCATGATGCTCTCTTCAATCATCCAGAGTACATAAAGAAGAATACATAAGTACATTACATACCTCCTGAGTGCCTAACTGATGATTCTTTTCACTAAATCGATTATTGTGTACATTGACATCATAGCGTATACAAATTTCAACCAAATTATGCATTGCATTTCAGAAATCAAATTGCTTATTTCCACTGACAAAACAAATGCATATATATACGTGCATTGCGTGTTGCATGAACTAAACTATATACTGTCAAACTTCATTGTCTATGTACGAGCATATTTGTTATGGGGACTCACAGCCAAAAACAAGCTAATGATAACACACAAATATAATAGATATAAGTCGGCTATACACCTTGAAGAGAACAACCTTTTTGTAATACGTACATGTTTGACTCAAAAGAATTTTCTCTCATTCATCATAAAACATTTCAGATTCTTACCATGTGTTGTTTATCTGTTGAAGTAATATTTAATGCAATACATTCCTGAAAACAAAGCAAGTAGGTTAATGATAGTTTAGAAATCAAAAAAACAAAATTAACATAGGATGTCTTCAAATCCTATTTATTGAATTAGACATTCAAACAACGGGATGATCATTTTTTGTTGACTCATTTCAGATAAATAAACAACACGAGGTAGCTTGATATATTGAATAAGGGAACACACATTATTTCTGATTTATCCGTCAGTAAAAGACGGTTCATTGATAGCCAAGCCTAGAATGATATGGATACTTAATCAACGTAACATAGGTCGGTCCTAATTAAGTAAATGGTTGAGTCACTGATGTATACCCCTCCTTATCTACTCAGAGATCGATTACAAAACATTCTGACATGTTCTATTTATTCAGAAAGATAGAGGGATGAGTTTGTAGTGATAAATGCCTTGAATTTGTAAACATCTCGCTGAATATACAAGTGGGTTTTTTTTTTGCAGGGGGTGGGTTGGGTTCAGTTCGCGTTCCAAAACAAACATTTGTATAATATTAATACAGATTTATGATAACAAATGAAAATGACGACATGTTTTTTTACACTCAATAATATCTCATTGCTTTTCACTAACACAGATATGCAATAAAACAGAATATCTAATACTATCTAATGTATCTACCGTAATACAAATAGAACAAAAAGCCGCATGTTATACGGCCTAGGGTAGCAGTGTACAGTATCGTACGGTGCCCATGGGTGATATTTTTGTACAATGAATAACCCCTGTACTATTACATGTATCAAAACTTTGGAAAAAAATCAGCTTTAAAATTGGCATATACTTAATGAATTGGACTATGTGGGCTTCACATTTAAAAAAACAAAAATTCGCACTTGGCTTGAGACTACATTTTTGGCTATTTACGAATCTGTGTCTACACAACAAAAGCTAGCTTTTCATGTAGTCTTTTTTTTGTACTCAGCACATGTGTAAATATTGTGAAAAATCCAGTTTAAGGACCTATGCTAAAACGTGAGTTTCTGCGACCGAGTAGGTGATATTTAATTTAAGACAGGTTTTAAGAAAAACATTACTACTTGCGTGGGTCAAATGTTGGGTAAAAAATCATGATTTTTAACACTTTTTGGCGTTTTTTGATGTGGTACCGATGGTTTTTACAAGTCCGAAATCTGGGGAAATCACCGTTTGAAAACAAAATCATTCTTCTAAAGAAAACGTATTCAAAATGTAGTTTATAAATATATATATGTAGGTGTGATGCGCAGGATGAATCCGCTATCCATGTTTATCCGAGACATGCCTTTTATNAAATATCCATCATACCGCAACATACGCGGAAAACAATATTAATCTTCCAGTGAATGCAAACAAATTGTTATCCGGTTAATAACCGAAATACCACCTTTCTCTCCAAACAAATTGTTATCCGGTTAATAACCGAAATACCCCCTTTTTCTCCAAACAAAGCGCGTGTTTTGAAAGTGTGATATCCTTATTACTGTTGGATTGTATTCGTTAAATAAGACAGACAATATGTTTTATATTTCAAAGCGAAGTATGTGTTTTGTCGCTGATTTGCACTGGTACCTCATCTTTCAGCAGTGTCCATTCTTGTACTGTTTTAAGATGTTTGTGCAATTAATATGAACGAACATGAGTAGCAGCTCGGTAGGCCAGATGTAGGTTGTAAGAAGCTAGAACACTTCTACCAGAAATCTGTTTACAAATGTAAATGCATGTACGGCCTATATAACAAAATGATGCTAATAACGGTAAGCTTATTTGGTTGGACCGATGTCGATTCATCGTATACAATATGCATGATCATGACTTTCGGACAGATGAAGAAGAAAATTAAGAGCATTTATAATACCCAGTTGCTATTCGAGATATGCTGAGGGGAGTCCAGAGAAATGATCATTAGTACTTCTAAACCTCAAACCTATTGTTGTCGCATTTGTGCCATAACAAAATAGAGTGTGAAGATTTAACCTAAATATGTTGACTTAGTACGAAAAAAATTAAGACAGCCACTAAACAGTGTACCGTGTATCCTTCATCAAATACAAAGGTTAGAGTCGGGGTGATAAAAGTTGAAATTAGTAAAAAAAAGAGATGATTTTACTCTTGAAACGAGCTGATATAACGTCACCATTCCAGATAATGTCAGACACCGATCTTATTTTTTTCATTATGATATGATGCTACTCTCTAACACTGTTTAGTTGTGAGATGAGGCGCTAGTAGCCTCGGAATACCTCAGTGGTTGTCCTTTTGTGGGAGATGATTTGTCATAATACACATTGTTAGGGAAAACCTTTGTTTCCCTGCTCCATTGTTCGGGATAGGTCAACAAGGTAATGTCTGACGAACGCGGCGCGTTAATATACGTCTGTATTGTAGATTGACGTGATAGACAGAAATAGCAACAGCAGGCATGCGGGGGACATAATTATGATATATTAGTATGTACATTTAAGTACGTATGATCATACAATACTCGGCCTGGGAGTGCTGGACAGAGGCCGAACTCCTGGTTACAATCGATTTCACTGATATTCAAATATAATCCAAAATTACTCCATACATTTGTGTAGGACAAATTCTACCGCAGTAGGATTTTACTTAATTGACAATTTATTGTTTTGTTGTTTTGGGTTGTTTTTTTGTTGTTATTTTTTTGTAATTTGGAAACTATTTGATCGATCAAAAGGATACACATTCTTTTGAATATGGACATTCAATCCGCTAACTCTTCCTGTAACACGTTGCGACCGTACGCAGAACGTTCATACAAGAAAAGAAAATAGGTAATGGTAATTTAACCTTGACAAAAATACTGAATTGACCGAGAGAAAAAAGTCCGGACGTTATGTCTGCGTCGAAAAT